TGCCCACACATTGTACTCAAACAGAGGGATGCCATGAGCTGTATGTGCCCACACATTGTACTCAAACAGAGGGATGCCATGAGCTGTATGTGCCCACACATTGTACTCAAACAGAGGGATGCCAGTGGACAGTGGTGCCATGAGCTGCATGTGCCCACACATTGTCCTCAAACAGAGGGATGCCACTGGACAATGGTGCCATGAGCTGTATGTGCCCACACATTGTCCTCAAACGGAGGGATGCCACTGGACAATGGTGCCATGAGCTGTATGTGCCCACACATTGTCCTCAAACAGAGGGATGCCACTGGACAGTGGTGCCATGAGCTGTATGTGCCCACACATTGTCCTCAAACGGAGGGATGCCACTGGACAATGGTGCCATGAGCTGTATGTGCCCACACATTGTACTCAAACAGAGTGATGCCACTGGACAGTGGTGCCATGAGCTGTAAGTGCCCACACATTGTACTCAAACAGAGCGATGCCACTGGACAATTGTCCAGGACAACTTCTATCTAGTTAACTAACCAGGGAAGACCCTCATATCTATATGGGTGGACATCGAGATGTCAAATCTAACTGTTGTAGGCATCCTCAAGGTCAAATGTAGAACTGGAAGCACCTGGTGTGGGGAGGATATTGACATTTGCGGATGATATTCTTGCAGGACATAGATAGGCAGCTGACAGCTCAAGAGCTACAGTGGGCAAGGTGACTGGCTGGTGTACTGAGATGAGTGCTGTAACCAGTCTTAAACATGCAGCAGTTTCATGGTGCTCTCTGGACAATAGAATTGTTAGAGCTCACAGTAAATAGAAATACCATAACTGAAGAACCTGGATACAACTTTTGATAGGAGCCTAACATTCAAGGACCATCTGGAGGGAATGCAGTAAAATGCAAAAAGGAGCTTAATGAACTACAGCAATGGACATGGAGCAAATGTACCAACAGTTGATTATTTCACTGATGGATTATAGACTGGGGCTGCTCCCTGTTTTTAAGTCAGCTGTAAAAAAGGTGTAGAGAGGCTTTTTTCATGCAGAGTGGCAAGCATCGTTTTAGAGGTCCGGATTAATCATCTTTCTTTGGATATTGTTTTTGAGGCATGCACAAGTATTGACAGATGAACAGGCAGGCATATTGGCTTGTTCTGCACCAGTGGTTGATACATTTATGCATGACAGGCTAGTCGTGATAGGGGTCCTTTGGGAACAGGTGGAAACTGCTCAGGCACCAATTGATGATCAGGAGAGGATGGTACATCTGGGAGTGACCAAGAGATCTAGTCCACACACTGAACTTAGAGGAGAGAATGGTATATTGACTAGGAGATCTAGTCGACACTCTGAACTTAGAGGAGAGAATGGTATATTGACTAGGGGATCTAGTCGACACTCTTAACTTAGAGGGGAGAATGGTATATTGACTAGGGGATCTAGTCGACACTCTGAACTTAGAGGAGAGAATGGTATATTGACTAGGGGATCTAGTCGACACTCTGAACTTAGAGGAGAAAATGGTATATTGACTAGGAGATCTAGTCCACACTCAACTTAGAGGAGAGAATGGTACATCTGAAAGTGACCGAGGTATCTGGTGGACACTCTGAACTTAGAGGAGAGAATGGTACATCTGAAAGTGACCGAGGTATCTGGTGGACACTCTGAACTTAGAGGAGAGAATGGTACATCTGAAAGTGACCGAGGTATCTGGTGGACACTCTGAACTTAGAGGAGAGAATGGTACATCTGAAAGTGACCGAGGTATCTGGTGGACACTCTGAACTTAGAGGAGAGAATGGTACATCTGAAAGTGACCGAGGTATCTGGTGGACACTCTGAACTTAGAGGAGAGAATGGTACATCTGAAAGTGACCGAGGTATCTGGTGGACACTCTGAACTTAGAGGAGAGAATGGTATATTGACTAGGGGATCTAGTGGACACTCTGAACTTAGAGGAGAGAATGGTACATCTGAAAGTGACAGAGGTATCTGGTGGACACTCTACACTCACAGGAGAGGCAAGATGGACATATAATCAAACAACTACTGGTACTATCAGAAATGAACTTGTGCTGGTTGCTGAAGATGAGGCCAAAGCACTTGGGGATCTCCTGAGTGATGTGATGTCAGTTCTTGCTTGACATCAGCACTCAACATCAACACTCAACATCAGCACTCAACATCAACACTTAATACTCAACATCAACACTCAACATCAACACTCAATATCAACACTCAATGTCAACAACACTTAACACTCAACATCAACACTCAACATCAACATTCAACATCAGCACTCAACATCAGCACTCAGCATCAACACTCAACATCAGCACTCAGCATCAACACTCAACATCAGAACTCAGCATCGACACTTAACATCAACACCAAACATCAACACCTAACATCAACACCTAACATCAACACTAACATCAACACCTAACATCAACACTCAACATCAACACCTAACATCAACACTCAACATCAGCATTCAACATTAACACTCAACATCAACACTCAACATCAACACCTAACATCAACACCTAACATCAACACTCAACATCAGCATTCAACATTAACACTCAACATTAACACTCAACATCACTCAACATCAACACTCAACATCAACACCTAACATCAACTCTCAGCACTTATGCCACTGGCACATTAGGCATACAATGTCTGATTCATGTGTCTATTGACCAATTTGTACTCGATGGGTGATGTGCTCACCTGAACATGTTAGCTGGTGGTGAGTTAATTGCACTGCTTTCTCTAATAATGCCTAACAACTGAACCACGATACATTTTGGCTGTCCCCTCGAAAATAGGTTACTTGAAGCGTTTCCATGTTGCATTGTGTGACAATATAATATGCTTACAAACTTCTGTGTTCTGATTGTATTCGTATTACAAATCGACAAGCGGATATTGTAAAGTGGATATTCAAGATTTTCATACTTGGTTGTTAGACTACAGCAATTTTAATTCACGGGAGACAGTCGTGTTGTGATGTGTATGTCACTGTTTCTAGTCAGTAGTTCGGATTTTGGGGAACTGGCTGTTTATTACTTTTCTACTTTAAGTGTAGAAATCTTACTTTTAGGGAAAATACAAACAGGTAATTTAGAAGTCATATCTGGAGAATATAGACAGTTGTCAGGTGCAAACTAACTTGTGTTGGAAGAAAACTATTGCTTTCATATTGACTGTGCATAAATGGTGCAACCACACTGTGGATAAATTGTGTCAAGATATTTCGGAGCTCTAGGTAAGTGGATGAAAATAATATTTAATTGACTAACTAACCTCTCACAGCAAGTTACTCTTTGCCTCTTTACTAATTGTTGACTAACAGTATAATTATATGTTGTAGCAGTACACTAATAATATTAATCCTTAACCATTTGACTTATGCTTCTCGAACACTGGCTGTAAACTCTTGCGGAAACTTCTGGTTGTTTATCAACTTCTTATACATATTTGCAGTTGTACGGTCTGTGTTAATTTTTGTAAACTGGCTTTTGCTTCGCAAACACTGGCTGTAAACTCTGGCAGAAACTTCTGGTTGTTCATCTTATTCTGGGCTTTAGTCTTGTTCCAGAACGAGATCCGGTATCTATATGGGAATTTTTGTGTTTGATATGTGTATGTTGCTCAGCAATTTGCAGTTATATGGTCTTTTTTAATTTGCTTTAATTACCTTTAAAATAATATACCATTCATGATACTTATACGCGATGTTGCATGCAGTAATTAGAAATATGCGTGATGTATTTTAAACAGTTACCAAAAAATTCGCAATGATAAGGAATTGATTTCATCCAACAAGATGAAACTGGACAAATTTGTTTGTGCTGTTTGTACCTTGAGGATAAATATTGAGTAGTGCTAGAAGTACTGTTAAGAAAACTACTCTGGGTAAAAAAAGTATTGCACATATCAATTTCATACTGATTGTGCTTGTTTACTAAATGTCACACCCCCCCCCCACACCCCCCCTCCTCCCCCCCCCCCCACTTCCGCTTCTCTATGCAACAATACCCTCTCAGAATCGAATCAAAGAGTTAGCGCTGATATTTCTTTACTTTTGCTGGAACAACTTTTAGTTTATATCTAAACGTTATTGATGTTTATGTTCATGTTGACTGTAACAAAAGCATTTTTCTTTGTCTGTAAGAGCCTTTATTGTTATATTTAATTGGCACACCTATTTACCTTAAAAATGACGTATAGTTCTATAAAATATGTCGAAAATTAATGAAACTGTATTTTAATTTGTGTAAACATCTCCTCGATAAAAACTGTGGACGCAGAGGGACTCAATTCTTGCACAAGAACGGGAATTCCCGTTGACCTGTTAGGCCTATAATTAGAGAAGGTAGTGGTTAATTGGTTGACCTGTGTGTACATGATTTTAGGATAAGTGTGTTTGTATATGGTAGATAGTGAAAGGTGACATGTGATTGAAGTATGTGTACATGATTTCAGGATAAGTGTGTTTGTATATGGTAGATAGTGAAAGGTTGAAGTACTTTCATCAAATTACCTTTAGTCTTCATACTTCCTCATTTTCTTTGCAGAAAGTAATTGTTTCAGCTGGGAGCTACCAGGATTGTACATAGAAATAGCTTCTGATAGAAGTACAAGGAATGTGCATAGAAGTAACTTCTTATAGAAGTACCTGGAGTTTACATAGAAGTAACTTCTGATAGAAGTACCTGGAGTGTACATAGAAGTAACTTCTGATAGAAGTACCAGGAGTGTACATAGAAGTAATTTCTGGTAGAAGTACTTGGAGTGTGTACAGATCTGCAGCTATGTACACATGTAATAGCTTGAAATAGGTGCAATGTGTGTGTGTGCTAGCTAACAATGAGAAGGAAGTACTGACATCACCAGCACACACTGAGAAAACACACCTGCCGGGCTGTAGGGGTCACCAGTTGTTGTACATCACGGGTGTGTCCAGCTCTCTGGAGGCAGCCACCATGAGAGAAGAGGAGGTAGAGGTGGCTATCAAAGTTGTTGTGGTAGGGAATGGTGCCGTGGGAAAGTCCAGCATGATCCAGAGATACTGCAAGGGCATTTTCACCAGGGATTACAAGAAGACTATCGGAGTGGATTTCTTGGAGCGACAGATTGAGTAAGTGATATGTTTTTGTGTCTAAGTCTGCCTAAGAGTGTGGATTTTATGGCTGGTCACACATGTGTTCTGACTTTTCAAGCAAAGAGGGAAAAAAATAATAAAGTATAGGTTAGCATTGCCAATTTGTAATTACACAAAAAAAAGATGTTGGGGCAAAAAGCCTTGTTTAAGATTTAACACATGAGCAGAATACAGTGTCAAGTTCTTTTCTGAAAACCTCCAATTATGGAGATCATAGAATCACTTATTTTGAATATGTTGACGGGTGCAGTAACATAGTGGGGGGAGGGGGGGGGGGGGTGGGATTGTATTATATTTGAGACAGAGAAGAGGTATAATTAAAAAAACAAGTTTAGTTACATTTCCTCTACCAGATGTTGCATAACCGTCTTCTTCCTTTTAATTCTCCTCCTCCTTCCATTTTCTTCCCCTCCCCTCTTCTTCCTCTTCCTTGTCTTCCTTTTCTTCTTCTTGTTCTTTTTCCTTCTCCCCTTCTTTTTCTTCTTTTTCTTGACATTCACAGCTGAAACTTCAGCAGAAAGTTCTGGTTATTCATCTACTTTTAGACTTTGGTTTTGTTCTTTGGTCTGCCCGAGAGGTCAGTAACTAGTCTGCATACTGATGAGCCAGATCTGCCCGAGAGGTCAGTAACTAGTCTGCATACTGATGAGCCATATCTGCCTGAGAGGTCAGTAACTAGTCTGCATACTGATGAGCCAGATCTGCCCGAGAGGTCAGTAACTAGTCTGCATACTGATGAGCCAGATCTGCCCGAGAGGTCAGTAACTAGTCTGCATACTGATGAGCCAGATCTGCCCGAGAGGTCAGTAACTAGTCTGCATACTGATGAGCCAGATCTGCCCGAGAGGTCAGTAACTAGTCTGCATACTGATGAGCCAGATCTGCCCGAGAGGTCAGTAACTAGTCTGCATACTGATGAGCCAGATTTGCCCGAGAGGTCAGTAACTAGTCTGCATACTGATGAGCCAGATCTGTCTGAGAGGTCAGAAACTAGTCTGCATACTGATGAGCCAGATCTGTCTGAGAGGTCAGTAACTAGTCTGCATACTGATGAGCCAGATCTGTCTGAGAGGTCAGAAACTAGTCTGCATACTGATGAGCCAGATCTGTCTGAGAGGTCAGTAACTAGTCTGCATACTGATGAGCCAGATCTGTCTGAGAGGTCAGTAACTAGTCTGCATACTGATGAGCCAGATCTGCCCGAGAGGTCAGTAACTAGTCTGCATACTGATGAGCCAGATCTGCCCGAGAGGTCAGTCACTAGTCTGCATACTGATGAGCCAGATCTGCCTGAGAGGTCAGTAACTAGTCTGCACACTGATGAGCCAGATCTTTAAAAATGGACGTGCAAGCAAAGCACAAGTTCTGGAACAAGACCAAAATCCATAAGTGGACAAACAACCAGCAATTTTTGCTTGAGTTTACAAACGATGAATGTTAAGAAGAAGAAGAATAAGGTAGTCATCTTAGCTGACTCTTCAGAAGATCTGGTCTGCACTTCTGACATGAATCAAAACACACAGTCATCATACTCACTAGAGGCGCTAGAGCTAAGGCCATGCTGATAAATGTGACATTAGGAGAGCCGACGGGCTGGCCTCTGGTAAACCCTGAATTTGGACAAGGGGGACACCAAATTGTTAATGAAAACAGACAAACCTGCAGCTAAACACACTGTCATGCGTGGCAGCATCAGGTATACAGTTTGACACCAGCAGGCAGATGAATTCAGCTGGTCACTTGAACTAGAACTATCTGTATACTTGAGCATCTTCCGAGGGAGACAGGACCCATGGGTACATGTCCTGAGTGCAGTACTGTTGGTTGTGTCTTGTCTAGTTAAGTTAATGTCAGAGATCAGAGACATGGTGTTTGTACCTGTACCCACAGGGTGGCAGGTGAGGATGTGCGTCTCATGTTATGGGACACCGCTGGCCAGGAGGAGTTTGATGCCATCACCAAGGCTTACTACAGAGGTCAGTCTGGCATGTCAAGGATGTCTTTTATCATAGTCTGCTCTCATGGTCTTTTCTCAGGTTCTGCTGAAATTGTCACTGTTTTTTTCTGTCTTTGTTGGCTGTAGACTTTTGTTGTTGTATACTGTAGACTTGTGTGGTTGTGTGTGTGATTGTTGGCTGTAGACTTGTGTGGTTGTGTATGTGATTGTTGGCAGTAGACTTGTGTGGTTGTGTGTGTGATTGTTGGCTGTAGACTTGTGTGGTTGTGTGTGTGATTGTTGGCTGTAGACTTGTGTGGTTGTGTGTGTGATTGTTGGCTGTAGACTTGTGTGGTTGTGTGTGTGATTGTTGGCAGTAGACTTGTGTGGTTGTGTATGTGATTGTTAGCAGTAGACTTGTGTGGTTGTGTATGTGATTGTTAGCAGTAGACTTGTGTGGTTGTGTATGTGATTGTTGGCAGTAGACTTGTGTGGTTGTGTGTGTGATTGTTGGCAGTAGACTTGTGTGGTTGTGTATGTGATTGTTAGCAGTAGACTTGTGTGGTTGTGTATGTGATTGTTAGCAGTAGACTTGTGTGGTTGTGTATGTGATTGTTGGCAGTAGACTTGTGTGGTTGTGTGTGTGATTGTTGGCAGTAGACTTGTGTGGTTGTGTATGTGATTGTTAGCAGTAGACTTGTGTGGTTGTGTATGTGATTGTTAGCAGTAGACTTGTGTGGTTGTGTATGTGATTGTTAGCAGTAGACTTGTGTGGTTGTGTGTGTGATTGTTGGCAGTAGACTTGTGTGGTTGTGTGTGTGATTGTTGGCAGTAGACTTGTGTGGTTGTGTGTGTGATTGTTGGCTGTAGACTTGTGTGGTTGTGTGTGTGATTGTTGGCAGTAGACTTGTGTGGTTGTGTGTGTGATTGTTAGCAGTAGACTTGTGTGGTTGTGTATGTGATTGTTAGCAGTAGACTTGTGTGGTTGTGTATGTGATTGTTAGCAGTAGACTTGTGTGGTTGTGTATGTGATTGTTAGCAGTAGACTTGTGTGGTTGTGTGTGTGATTGTTGGCAGTAGACTTGTGTGGTTGTGTGTGTGATTGTTGGCAGTAGACTTGTGTGGTTGTGTGTGTGATTGTTGGCAGTAGACTTGTGTGGTTGTGTGTGTGATTGTTGGCTGTAGACTTGTGTGGTTGTGTATGTGATTGTTAGCAGTAGACTTGTGTGGTTGTGTATGTGATTGTTGGCAGTAGACTTGTGTGGTTGTGTATGTGATTGTTAGCAGTAGACTTGTGTGGTTGTGTGTGTGATTGTTGGCAGTAGACTTGTGTGGTTGTGTGTGTGATTGTTGGCAGTAGACTTGTGTGGTTGTGTGTGTGATTGTTGGCAGTAGACTTGTGTGTGTGATTGTTGGCAGTAGACTTGTGTGGTTGTGTATGTGATTGTTGGCAGTAGACTTGTGTGGTTGTGTGTGTGATTGTTGGCTGTAGACTTGTGTAATCTGGTAATACTAGTTTCAGCTTCATAGCAAACAGGTCACCGCACAGATGCTCCGCTCCTGTGCCAACGAAAAACAAACGCAGCTCACAGTGTCACACCATGCACTCAACTCAGAAGCTGGGCGACGAAACTACATCCTTCCAGTCTACAAATGGAGCAAAAATGCAACGGCCACCGTCTGGCAAAAAAAAAAAAAACAACATTTGCCACGGCTTTAAAAAAAAAATAATATTAAATTTTAAAAAAAATGTGGCCGTGCCTAGCGTCCATTTTGACCGGAAGAATTATATGAGGGTTAATAAACGGTCACCCCAGCAGTACCCTCATTATTAGCTGGGGAAGGGACTTAGGACATTACATCCACCAGCAGGCGTCGTCCCTACAACGACCTGCCTGCCATCGTTAACGACTGTTCACCCAACAGCCATGCAGTTCTTTGGCACGAAGGAGACACCTTGAACTTGGGTTTCGTACTGCCGACTCCCTACTAAGATGTTATTTTATGTTCTGTTATCACAATTAATGTCAATTAATGCATACCCATGCGTGCTCAGTTCTCCGAAGCAGCAGCCACTCCAAAGTACTTCTACTAATTGTCCCCATGAGAAGCTGGTTATATTGTCTCCTTTCTCGGCCTCGAAGACGGCAAAGACGTGCATCACCATGCTTAACTCCCATGTCACGCAATCGTGTTAGTGTCAGGGATTCCTCATTCTCCACTAGCCCAGTTCGTACAGCGTTGACTATATCTGCTCTGTCCATACTTTTTCCCGCAATCATTAGTGCGGTGCTTGCCAGTTGGTCTGCTCGCTCATTTCCCTTCACGCCCGCATGACCCGGTGTGTAGATCCAGGTTACGGAGGTTAAGTGGGATTTCCGAATGCTTTCTATCCATTCAGAGCGCATACTGCCTGTTGCTATCTTCTGAAGCATATTCATTGAGTCTGAGACAATTACTGCCTGTGTGGTGGTTTGCTCGGATACCCATGCTAAAGCTCTAGAAGCAGCAGCTATTTCCATTGTCATGCTTGACGTGGTTGTCTGGTAAGCGCCGCTGTCCTCATGTATTGTTTTCCCATTTCTTTGCGCTGTGTATGCCCATGCTGACCTTGATCCGCGCTTCACGGATCCATCTGTGTAGATGATGGTATCTTCTGAGTCTGAATGCTGATCTATCAGTTCCCTTACTTCTGTGTCTACGGCCGCAGGAATTTGATCCCTGCAGTACCTTCCGAGTGTGATGACAACCTTAGAGATGCCATACATGTCTACTGGTGTATTCGTCCATTCTTTTCCGTGGCTGATCACGTCTAGGTCACATACCTGCTGGATTAAATCCTCAGCCTTTGCCATCCAAGAGCGGCCTCTTTTGAGACGCGCTCCTTTTGTGTCGTGTATAGCTTTGTGTAATGGGTGGTTAACGTCTGCCGATACCCTCATGTGACACTTTGTATCTGCTAGTCATAGTCGGCAGTCCTAGGATATAACGCATGGCGTTGCAGGAGGTGTCTTTTGTGCAGCCGAGTATGAGTCTCATGGCCTCATTCTGTACTCGGTCCAGTCTTTCTAGCTGGGTTTTGCTGACAGGGAGGAGGCCAAGACCATAGTCAATGACGCTAAGCACAACCCCTTGATAGAGAAGGAAAAGTAGACGTTGTTCAATATCAGCTGCTGCTAGCACCTTGAGTGCTGTCAAACCTTTCCTGGCTCTAAGTATGACGTTGTCTACGTGGCATTTGTATGACAAGCATCTGTCAAATGTCATGCCCAGGTATTTCATGGTGTTGTAGACTTGTGTGATTGTGTGTGTGATTGTTGGCAGTAGACTTGTGTGGTTGTGTATGTGATTGTTGGCTGTAGACTTGTGTGGTTGTGTATGTGATTGTTAGCAGTAGACTTGTGTGGTTGTGTATGTGATTGTTAGCAGTAGACTTGTGTGGTTGTGTATGTGATTGTTAGTAGTAGACTTGTGTGGTTGTGTATGTGATTGTTGGCTGTAGACTTGTGTGGTTGTGTGTGTGATTGTTGGCTGTAGACTTTTGTCGTTGTATGATTGTTGGCTGTAGACTTTTGTCATTGTATACTGTAGACTTTTGTGGTTGTGTATGTGATTGTTTTCTGTAGACTTGTGTGGTTGTGTATGTGATTGTTGGCTGTAGACTTTTGTCATTGTATACTGTAGACTTTTGTGGTTGTGTATGTGATTGTTTTCTGTAGACTTTTGTGGTTGTGTATGTGATTGTTTTCTGTAGACTTTTGTGGTTGTGTATGTGATTGTTTTCTGTAGACTTGTGTGGTTGTGTATGTGATTGTTGGCAGTAGACTTTTGTGGTTGTGTATGTGATTGTTTTCTGTAGACTTTTGTGGTTGTGTATGTGATTGTTTTCTGTAGACTTTTGTGGTTGTGTATGTGATTGTTTTCTGTAGACTTTTGTGGTTGTGTATGTGATTGTTTTCTGTAGACTTTTGTGGTTGTGTATGTGATTGTTGTCTGTAGACTTTTGTGGTTGTGTATGTGATTGTTTTCTGTAGACTTTTGTGGTTGTGTATGTGATTGTTTTCTGTAGACTTGTGTGGTTGTTTGTGTGATTGTTGTCAGTAGACTTGTGTGGTTGTGTATGTGATTGTTTTCTGTAGACTTGTGTGGTTGTTTGTGTGATTGTTGTCAGTAGACTTTTGTGGTTGTGTATGTGATTGTTTTCTGTAGACTTGTGTGGTTGTGTATGTGATTGTTTTCTGTAGACTTGTGTGGTTGTTTGTGTGATTGTTGTCAGTAGACTTGTGTGATTGTTTGTGTGATTGTTGTCAGTAGACGTGTGTGATTGTTTGTGTGATTGTTGTCAGTAGACTTGTGTGATTGTTTGTGTGATTGTTGTCAGTAGACTTGTGTGATTGTTTGTGGGATTGTTGTCAGTAGACTTGTGTGGTTGTTTGTGTGATTGTTTTCTGTAGACTTGTGTGGTTGTTTGTGTGATTGTTGTCAGTAGACTTGTGTGGTTGTGTGTGTGATTGTTTTCTGTAGACTTGTGTGATTGTTTGTGTGATTGTTGTCAGTAGACTTGTGTGGTTGTGTGTGTGATTGTTTTCTGTAGACTTGTGTGATTGTTTGTGTGATTGTTGTCAGTAGACTTGTGTGGTTGTTTGTGTGATTGTTGTCAGTAGACTTGTGTGGTTGTTTGTGTGATTGTTGTCAGTAGACTTGTGTGATTGTTGGCTGTAGACTTGTGTATTTGTTGGCTGTAGACTTGTGTATTTGTTGGCTGTAGACTTGTGTATTTGTTGGCTGTAGACTTGTGTATTTGTTGGCTGTAGATTTTTATGGTTGTGGGATTGTTTGCTGTAGACTTGTGTGGTTGTTTGATGTTATTTTGTGTGGTTGTTGGTTGTAAACTTGTGTGGTTGTGTGATTGTTTCTGTAATCTTGTGTGGTTGTTGGCTGTAGACTTGAATGGTTTTTGGCTGTAGACTTGTATGGATTTTGGATGTTATCTTGTGTGGTTGTTGGATTTGTGGCTGTTGATTTGTGTAGTTGTGTGATTGTTGGCTGTAGACCTGTGTGGTTGTGTGATTGTTGACCTGTAGACCTGTGTGGTTGTGTGATTGTTGACCTGTAGACCTGTGTGGTTGTGTGATTGTTGACCTGTAGAGTCTGGTGTACACGTGTAGTTTCATAGAAGGATGTTACAGCCAGGTAACCCAACCATTAGTTGCAACAAGGCAGACAGATTACCTGGCAGACCACCCAGTAATAAGTGGTGTAGCTTGCTCTTTGTGCCTGTTTGGTTGAAGTCACATATTCATCAAATGTATTTGTGCCTGTTTGGTTGAAGTCACATATTCATCAAATGTATTTGTGCCTGTTTGGTTGAAATAATCAATTTATCATGTCTTTTTGTCTGTTTTGCTCAAATGCCATATGCCTCACATGTCTTAGCCTCCAGTCTTCCGTTTGCAACAAGATTATGTAGCTGAGTGACAGAGACTGTCTTTGGTGTTTGTGTGTGTGTGTATAGTAGCCATCATACATTGATTTATTCATCCTCTGAGTTATGGAGTTAGGCCTTCATAAAATCTAGGCCAGTCATTGTTCTAGTTACTGTCAACATTATTCTAGTTACTGACAACATTATTCTAAATGTCAGACACATTGTTCTAGTTACTGACAACATTATTCTAGATGTCAGACACATTGTTCTAGTTACTGTCAACATTATTCTAGATGTCAGACACATTATTCTAGTTACTGACAACATTATTCTAGATGTCAGACACATTATTCTAGTTACTGACAACATTATTCTAGAGGTTATACATTGTTCTAGTTACTGACAACATTATTCTAGAGGTTATACATTGTTCTAGTTACTGTCAACATTATTCTAGATGTCAGACACATTTTTCTAGTTACTGACAACATTATTCTAGAGGTTATACATTGTTCTAGTTACTGTCAACATTATTCTAGATGTCAGACACATTTTTCTAGTTACTGACAACATTATTCTAGATGTCAGACACATTGTTCTAGTTACTGTCAACATTATTCTAGATGTCAGACACATTTTTCTAGTTACTGACAACATTATTCTAGATGTCAGACACATTATTCTAGTTACTGACAACATTATTCTAGAGGTTATACATTGTTCTAGTTACTGTCATCATTATTCTAGATGTCAGACACATTATTCTAGTTACTGACAACATTATTCTAGAGGTTATACATTGTTCTAGTTACTGTCATCATTATTCTAGATGTCAGACACATTTCTCTAGTTACTGACAACATTATTCTAGAGGTTATACATTGTTCTAGTTACTGTCAACATTATTCTAGATGTCAGACACATTTTTCTAGTTACTGACAACATTATTCTAGAGGTTATACATTGTTCTAGTTACTGTCAACATTATTCTAGATGTCAGACACATTTTTCTAGTTACTGACAACATTATTCTAGAGGTTATACATTGTTCTAGTTACTGTCAACATTATTCTAGATGTCAGACACATTTTTCTAGTTACTGACAACATTATTCTAGAGGTTATACATTGTTCTAGTTACTGTCAACATTATTCTAGATGTCAGACACATTTTTCTAGTTACTGACAACATTATTCTAGAGGTTATACATTTTTCTAGTTACTGTCAACATTTTTCTAGAGGTTATACATTGTTCTAGTAACTGTCAACATTATTCTAGATGTCAGTCACATTGTTCTAGTTACTGTCAACATTATTCTAGATGTCAGTCACATTGTTCTAGTTACTGTAAACATTATTCTAGATGTCAGTCACATTGTTCTAGTTACTGTAAACATTATTCTAGAGGTCAGTCACATTGTTCTAGTTACTGTAAACATTATTCTAGATGTCAGCCACATTGTTCTAGTTACTGTAAACATTATTCTAGATGTCAGTCACATTGTTCTAGTTACTGTAAACATTATTCTAGAGGTCAGTCACATTGTTCTAGTTACTGTAAACATTATTCTAGAGGTTAGTCACATTGTTCTAGTTACTGTAAACATTATTCTAGAGGTCAGTCACATTGTTCTAGTTACTGTAAACATTATTCTAGAGGTTATACATTGTTCTAGTTACTGTAAACATTATTATAGAGGTCAGTCACATTGTTCTAGTTACTGTCAACCAAATTGCAGGAGCCCAGGCCTGTGTTCTGGTGTTCTCCACTGTCGACCGGGAATCATTTGAGTCTTTGGAGCTGTGGAAGAAAAAGGTTTGTACATAATGACTGGCTGTCATGTTGCTAACACTGTCTTGTCATTTTGTTGACACTGTTGCTGATACTGTCATGCTGTTAAATTGCTGATACTGTCATGCTGTTAAATTGCTGATACTCTCATGCTGTTAAATTGCTGATACTGTCATGCTGTTAAATTGCTGATACTGTCATGTTGTTATGTTGCTCATACTGTCTTGTTGTTATGTTGCTGATACTATCATGTTGTTATGTTGCTGATACTGTCTTGTTGTTACATTGCTGATACTGTCTTGTTGTTACATTGCTGATACTGTCATGCTGTTAAATTGCTGATACTGTCATGCTGTTAAATTGCTGATACTGTCATGCTGTTAAATTGCTCATACTGTCTTGTTGTTATGTTGCTGATACTATCATGTTGTTATGTTGCTGATACTGTCTTGTTGTTACATTGCTGATACTGTCATGTTGTTATGTTGCTCATACTGTCTTGTTGTTACATTGCTGATACTATTATGTTGTTATGTTGCTGATACTGTCTTGTTGTTACATTGCTGATACTGTCATGTTGTTATGTTGCTCATACTGTCTTGTTGTTACATTGCTGATACTGTCATGTTGTTATGTTGCTCATACTGTCTTGTTGTTATGTTGCTGATACTATTATGTTGTTATGTTGCTCATACTGTCTTGTTGTTACATTGCTGATACTATTATGTTGTTATGTTGCTGATACTGTCTTGTTGTTACATTGCTGATACTGTCATGTTGTTATGTTGCTCATACTGTCTTGTTGTTATGTTGCTGATACTATCATGTTGTTATGTTGCTCATATTGTCTTGTTGTTACATTGCTGATACTATCATGTTGTTATGTTGCTGATACTGTCTTGTTGTTACATTGCTGATACTATCATGTTGTTATGTTGCTCATATTGTCTTGTTGTTACGTTGCTGATACTATCATGTTGTTATGTTGCTCATATTGTCTTGTTGTTACGTTGCTGATACTATCATGTTGTTATGTTGCTCATATTGTCTTGTTGATATGTTGCTGATACTATCATGTTGTTATGTTGCTCATATTGTCTTGTTGTTATGTTGCTGATACTATCATATTGTTATTTTGCTCATACTGTCTTATTGTTATGTTGCTGATACTATCATGTTGTTATGTTGCTCATATTGTCTTGTTGTTACATTGCTGATTCTATCATGTTGTTATGTTGCTGATACTGTCTTGTTGTTATGTTGCTGATACTATCATGTTGTTATGTTGCTCATATTGTCTTGTTGTTACATTGCTGATACTATCATGTTGTTATGTTGCTGATACTATCATGTTGTTATGTTGCTGATACTGTCATGTTGTTGTGTTGCTCATATTGTCTTGTTGTTACATTGCTGATACTATCATGTTGTTGTGTTGCTGATACTGTCATGTTGTTATGTTGCTGATACTATCATGTTGTTATGTTGCTGATACTATCATGTTGTTATGTTGCTGATACTGTCATGTTGTTATGTTGCTCATATTGTCTTGTTGTTATGTTGCTGATACTGTCTTGTTGTTGTGTTGCTGATACTGTCATGTTGTTATGTTGCTCATATTGTCTTGTTGTTATGTTGCTGATACTGTCTTGTTGTTAATTGCAGATTCTATCATGTTGTTATGTTGCTCATACTGTCTGTTGTTATGCTGCTGATACTATCATGTTGTTATGTTGCTCATATTGTCTTGTTGTTACATTGCTGATACTATCATGTTGTTATGTTGCTCATACTGTCTTGCTGTTATGTTGCTGATACTATCATGTTTTATGTTGCTGATACTATCATGTTGTTATGTTGCTCATACTGTCTTGTTAAATTGCAGATTCTATCATGTTGTTATGTTGCTCATACTGTCTGTTGTTATGCTGCTGATACTATCATGTTGTTATGTTGCTGATACTATCATGTTGTTATGTTGCTGATTCTATCATGTTGTTATGTTGCTCATACTGTCTTGTTGTTATGTTGCTGATACTATCATGTTGTTATGTTGCTGATACTATCATGTTGTTATGTTGCTGATACTATCATGTTGTTATGTTGCTGATACTATCATGTTGTTATGTTGCTGATACTATCATGTTGTTATGTTGCTGATACTGTCATGTTGTTATGTTGCTGATACTATCATGTTGTTATGTTGCTGATACTATCATGTTGTTATGTTGCTGATACTATCATGTTGTTATGTTGCTGATACTATCATGTTGTTATGTTGCTGATACTATCATGTTGTTATGTTGCTGATACTATCATGTTGTTATGTTGCTGATACTATCATGTTGTTATGTTGCTGATACTATCATGTTGTTATGTTGCTGATACTATCATGTTGTTATGTTGCTGATACTGTCATGTTGTTATGTTGCTGATACTGTCATGTTGTTATGTTGCTGATACTGTCATGTTGTTATGTTGCTGATACTGTCATGTTGTTATGTTGCTGATACTATCATGTTGTTATGTTGCTGATACTATCATGTTGTTATGTTGCTGATACTATCATGTTGTTATGTTGCTGATACTATCATGTTGTTATGTTGCTGATACTATCATGTTGTTATGCTGCTGATACTATCATGTTGTTATGTTGCTGATACTATCATGTTGTTATGTTGCTGATACTATCATGTTGTTATGTTGCTGATACTGTCTTGTTGTTATGCTTGGTGGTGAACTGAGATCATGTGAATGCTGTTGAGCTACCAGCCCGCTCATGAGGTAAAAATGGCTGTGACCCCCATGTTGTCTGCTGTGAGATGTGGTTTTGAGGTAAATATAGTGCCTGTTCAGTAAGAGTGCCGAACATGAGGATCCAACCAAGGTAATGCTAGTCTCTGATGCAGCAGTGATTCCCTGGATAACCAACCTCTGGTACAGATGAACTTCATAACAGTAATAACAGTTCATTTGTCAACTTGTAAGTGTTCACATTTGTTCCTGCAGTTGTCAACTTGTAAGTGTTCACATTTGTTCCTGCAGTTGTCAACTTGTTAGTGTTCACATTTGTTCCTGCAGTTGTCAACTTGATAGTGTTCACATTCGTTCCTGCAGTTGTCAACTTGTAAGTGTTCACATTTGTTCCTGTTAAAGATCTGTTATTTTGAATTGTCTGTCAATATGCCTGAGCAGTCTGTATGATAGAACCCAGTCAGTCATTGTGAGGTAGACTGTAGCTACTGCATATTGTGACATAGGCTGTACCAGTTCCATATTATGAGGTTGACTGTACCAGTTCCATATTGTGTGATAGACTGTAGCCATTGCATGTTGTGACATAGACTGTAGCTATTGCATATAATGAGGTAGACTGTACCTGTTCCATATTGTGAGGTAGACTATAGCCATTGCATATTGTGACATAGACTGTAGCCATTCCATATTATGAGGTAGACTATACCAGTTCCATATTTTGAGGTAGACTGTACCAATTCTATATTGTGAGGTAGACCATAGCCAATGCATATTGTGACGTAGACTTTAGCTATTCCATATTATGAGATAGACTGTACCAGTTCCATATTGTGAGGTAGACTGTACCAGCTCCATATTATGAGGTAGACTGCACCAGTTCCATATTGTGACGTAGACTGTAGCTATTCAATATTGTGAGGTAGACTGTAGCCATTGTATATTGTGATGTAGACTGTAGCTATTCCATATTATGAGGTAGACTGTACCAGTTCCATATTGTGAGGTACACTGTAGCCATTCCATATTGTGAGGTAGACTGTAGCCATTGTGTATTGTAAGGTTGACTGTAGCCATCCCATATTGTGAGGTAGACTGTACCAGTTCTATTTTGTGAGGTAGACTGTAGCCATCCCATATTTTGAGGTAGACTGTACCAGTTCCATTTTGTGAGGTAGACTGTAGCCATCACATATTGTGAGGTAGACTATAGCCATTGCATATTGTGAGGTAGACTGTAGCCATTCCATATTGTGAGGTAGACTGTAGCCATTGCATATTGTGAGGTAGTCTGTAGCCATTGCATATTGTGAAGTAGACTGTAGCCATTGCATATTGTGAGGTAGACTGTAGCCATTGCATATTGTGAGGTAGACTGTAGCCATTGCATATTGTAAGGTTGACTGTAGCCATCCCATATTGTGAGGTAGACTATAGCCATTGCATATTGTGAGGTAGTCTGTAGCCATTGCATATTGTGAGGTAGACTGTAGCCATTGCATATTGTGAGGTAGACTGTAGCCATCACATATTGTGAAGTAGACTGTAGCCATTGCATATTGTGAATCTGTGTTTGTTGCTCACCAAGGTTGAGGACGAGGTGGGAGAAATCATCATGGTGATTGTACAGAACAAGATTGACCTCATTGATGACGCTCTAGTGCAGACGTAAGTGTTCCTGTTTGCTGTTTGTTGATCTGTTTACTTTCAGTTCCTGTGTTTGTTGTTTTTGATGTTTGTAGCTGCTAATTTTTTTGATATTGTTTCCTGTGACACATAATATTCTTTGGCAAAAGTAATAGGCAAATATAAATGAAATAATTGTAGGTCAGTAACGCAGCCTATTATAAGAAGACTACGAGACCAAGATCAACAGGTGAAATGGTTTGGCCATCTGATAGAAATGCCTTTGTACCATTTGCCACATAGAACTATGCTGAAGAATAAAAATATACATAGAACAAGAGGAAGACTACACAGAATATGGAACAGTGGTGTTAAGACCAGCTGATGCAATGTATTAGAAAGGGCACACAGGAGATGGTGGCATCTCCTCTCAACACTTTGATGAAGTAGCTGCAGGAAGAGCAGACAAAGAAACAACCTTCTTATCAACTGTGCATGATCAAAGTCAGACTCAGATGCTAGTCACAAAGTGTCCAAAAAAGATTGAAGTAACAAAGTGTCCAGAAAGATTGAAGTAACAAAGTCCAGAAAGATTGAAGTAACAAAGTGTTCAGAGATATTGAAGTAACAAAGTGTCCAGAAAGATTGAAGTAACAAAGTGTCCAGAAAGATTGAAGTATTAAAGTGTCCAGAATGATTGAAGTAACAAAATGTCCAGAATGATTGAAGTAATAAAGTGTCTAGAAAGATTGAAGTAACAAAGTGTTCAGAATGATTGAAGTAACAAAGTGTTCAGAAAGATTGAAGTAACAAAGGGTCCAGAATGATTGAAGTAATAAAGTGTCCAGAAAGATTGAAGTAATAAAGTGTTCAGAATGATGAAAGTTATAAAGTGTTCAGAAAGATTGAAGTAACAAAATGTTCAGAAAGATTGAAGTAACAAAGTGTTCAGAAAGATTGAAGTAACAAAGTGTTCAGTAAGGTTGAAGTAACAAAGTGTTCGGAAAGATTGAAGTAACAAAGTGTTCAGAAAGATTGAAGTAACAAAGTGTTCAGAAAGATTGAAGTAACAGTGTTCAGAAAGATTGAAGTAACAAAGTGTTCAGAAAGATTGAACAAAGTGTCCAGAAAGATTGAAGTAACAAAGTGTCCAGAAAGATTAAAGTAACAAAGTGTCCAGAAAGATTGAAGTAACAAAGTGTTCAGAAAGATTGAACAAAGTGTCCAGAAAGATTGAAGTAACAAAGTGTCCAGAAAGATTAAAGTAACAAAGTGTCCAGAAAGATTGAAGTAACAAAGTGTCCAGAAAGATTGAAGTAACAAAGTGTTCAGAAAGATTGAACAAAGTGTTCAGAAAGATTGAAGTAACAAAGTGTCCAGAAAGATTGAAGTAACAAAGTGTCCAGAAAGATTAAAGTAACAAAGTGTCCAGAAAGATTGAAGTAACAAAGTGTCCAGAAAGATTGAAGTAACAGAGATGAAATACCTGTAATGAATGGGGAATGTAGTCAGAAGACACAAGAACACAAATTATGATTTCTGAAGCAAAAGTGTGGACAACATTGGTTTAGATTTTACATAAACAAAAATATTTGATCAAATACAAATATCAGGACCAGAGAATGTCCACCAGAAAATGCTGGCACATTGCCTGAGTGAGGTCAGGTGTCAGAGGTGGTTTCCGGCAGGTGTTGTGGTCAGGGCATACTTTACTATATGTGCGGTTTTATATATATATTAGAGCTGTACTGAATAGGTGATTATCACTATTTGGCCGAATACAAATAACGGGACCAACTATTCGGCTGCATACGAATATCTTAAAGTGTATAAAATAAATCCAAAAAGACATTCATAATGTCAAATGTACGCTGAACTTTGACTTCACAAAAAATAGTAGAGAATAGTATAAACATTTAAAAACATTATGTTTTGCATCCTTCAGTCAGTCAGTCAGTCAGTCTGTGGTAACTAATAACTAGGAATGAAAGTATCCTAAGTATTATAACAAGTAACTAAACTTGTAAATTGTCACTGGCAGCTTAGTTAATGCATGAAAGCTGCATTAGCTTTCAACAAAATCAATCGTTCCATGTTGTCAGCATTAAGGCTGTGTATGCAGAAGCGGGTGTAAGGTAACCACTATTCGTATTCGACTCGACCGCAACTATTCGGCCGAATACCGAACAGTTATTAGGTCTACTATTTGGCCCCAAAGTGAATGTTCGGTACAGCTCTAATATATATATATATATATATATATATATATATATATATATATATATATATATATATATATATATATATATATATTATGTATGATTACTATACACACACAAACATATATATGTGTGTGTATGTATAGTAATACAGAATATATATATATGTGTGTAAGTGTCTAGTAATATATATAATATATATATTTCTATACAGTAATGTATATGAAATAATATATATGTGTATATATATATATATGTGTGTGTGTGTATAAATATATATGTATACAGTAATGTATATAATGTATATGTGTATGCAGTAATATATAGTATATATAAATATATATGTATATGGTATGAGCCACCATCTTAGAGTGAGATATCATCAAGAGAAAGCAAGAATCTGAATTTCAATCAGCCAGATCTGTAAAACGGGTGTGCACCCAAAACTCCAGTTCTGGAACAAGACGAATGTCCAGAATTATGCGAAAAACCAGAACCTTGCACCAGAAATGACAGCTGGTCAACTCAAAGAAACCAGAAGAAGAAGATTACTGTGTGCCTGGTTTATTCTCATAATCTTTGTTCCCCCCCCCCCCCCCCCCCCGAATAATAGTTTTGTAATTTGTGATCTCTCATCAAGAACTTAGTTACTTTAACTGGCTTCATAGTTGTGTGTATGTGTTCTGCAGTGTGTTTATATCTGTGTATAAATTCTTAGCTCAGAAGCTGAAGAGCTCGCCAAGAAACTTCGACTGAGATTTTACCCAGCTTCTGTGAAAGATAACTTAAATGTTGAGGAAGGTAAGATTATTCTCATATATTTGATGCTCTTACGGGTGATAATTGTTTTTTTACTTGTGTATAGTGATCTGTCACTTAAAACTAGTTTCTGTTTCTGGGTACAGCAACGAGAATTCAGAATTGTTTTTTCTTGAAATTCACATTGAGATTTCACACTTATTGGTATCTTATAGATTTGTACATGCGCTGCTGTTTGGGTAGGTGTCGACAGATCTTTGGACTTTGAGCCATTATGAGTGTTTGCACCATTATACGGCTTTCTGGTGCTTGAATGGCTCATACTGCTCTGGAATACGTGAGCACTGGATTGAGACTGGGATTGAATGGCTCTACTGCTCTGGAATACATGAGCACTGGATTGAGACTGGGATTGAATGGCTCATACTGCTCTGGTATACTTGAGCACTGGATTGAGACTGGGATTGAATGGCTCATACTGCTCTGGTATACGTGAGCACTGAATTGAGACTGGGATTGAATGGCTCATACTGCTCTGGTATACGTGAGCACTGGATTGAGACTGGGATTGAATGGCTCATACTGCTCTGGTATACGTGAGCACTGGATTGAGACTGGGATTGAATGGCAAGCAGTGTATGCTTGTTTGTGGGGGGAGGGGAGGGGGGGGGTCTTAAGTGAAGTCAGCTAGCAGTTTGTGGTTGTTTGTGGGGGGACCTAATGTAAAGTCAGCTAGCAGTGTGTGGTTGTTTGTCTGGAGATCTTATGTGAAGTCAGCTAGCAGTGTGTGGTTGTTTGTGTGGGAATCTTGTTCTTATGTGTGGTGACAGGAACAGTTGGTGGTGTCAGGGATGGGTTCACCTGTAGTACAGTTCTCGCTGGTGCTGACTTTCTGCTTGAATTCTGATATTCCTGGGAAGGAGAAGATGAACAGGACAAGTTTCACCTGACCTGATAAGGTTGTGACCTACTTTATTTATAAACTTGCCTGTTGAAACCATCTGCCTTGTTACCTGTAGTCATTGGAAGACATGGGAGTCAGGTACCATCACCACAGCAGCCCAGTCTGCCATTGTAGGTGACCCAGATTGTGTGTCATGTGTCTCCAGCTCAGAGTCCATGGTTTTTCACAAAACTGTTTGGCCAAGCTCTCGCTGGTCTTCCTTCAGAGGTCCATGACATGACAACTCTAGTGACAGTGTCAGTTCTATACTCCATAGCATGGTGGTTCTGTCCCAGTTTCAGGACCTGTCTGTCATAACAGCGTTAGTTAGTGTCCGTGGATTGGTGACAGTGTTTGTATCTGTGATGATCAGCAAAAGTGTGTGTGTGATTGATCAACAAAAGTGTGTCTGTGATGATCAGCAAAAGTGTGTGTGTGATTGATCAGCAAAAGTGTGTGTGTGATTGATCAGCAAAAGTGTGTGTGTGATTGGTCTGCAAAAGTGTGTCTGTGATTGATCAGCAAAAGTGTGTGTGTGATTGATCAGCAAAAGTGTGTGTGTGATTGATCAGCAAAAGTGTGTTTGTGATTGATCAGCAAAAGTGCGTGTGTAATTGATCAGCAAAAGTGTGTCTGTGATTGATCAGCAAAAGTGTGTCTGTGATTGATCAGCAAAAGTGTGTCTGTGATTGATCAGCAAAAGTGTTTTTGTGATTGGTCAGCAAAAGTGTGTCTGTGATTGGTCAGTGAAAGAGTTAATGGCTGCTTATCTTTTTCTTCTTCACGTTCACCAGCTGTCAACTCTGGTGGAAAGTTCTGGTTGTTCATCCACTTCTGGACTGCAGTCGTGTTCCAGAACCTGAGTGTTGCGTGTGCATTTGTTTGACAGATCTGACACATCTGTGTGCAGACTGTTGGTTCCTTGCCTCTCAGGCAGATGCACTTTGACTTTGAAGGAGGCTCCCAATTAGTCGACTCTTACGGCATGCTTTTGGGTAGGCAGTGGGTCTATTCTTGTTTTCCCTGTAACAGGGCCCCGGAACCCACATGGAGGATGACTGCGATTGATCATTGTGTTGATGGCCAGCGAAAGAATTTATGTCTGTGATTGGTCACTGTGTTGACAGAGTTGTTGTATAACCTGGTCCAATGTGCAGTTTTCAGGTACCTGGCCGGCAAGTACCTGGAGAGACTCAACACAGACATTGATGCAGATGTGAGCACACAGAAAATTGGTGAGTCCTGTGTGTGTGACCTCTGACCTGGGGCGTTGACCTAACAAAGAAACTGTTCTTAATTAAAGAGATCTGTCTCATTATTATCCCTTCTAGTAGCTCTTCTCTAGCTGGCTGTTCTGGGGCAAAGGTTGCTGATCTGGATGTTTTCTTGAAGTCATTATTTGAAGCTTTACAGCTTTCTTAGCAGGGCTTTTTCTCATAGCTGACACTGATCTGCTTTTCTGGATTTGTTGCCACTGTCCTCAAATTTATAATTGTAACTGTCCTGTTTCCCTCGATTGTGTGTTTTCTGTCATGTATACATGTGTGAACTGCAGCTCCGCTAGGTTCTGTGTTACTGTCCCTATTTTCATAATTGTAACTGTCCTGTTTCCCTCGATTGTGTGTTTGCTGTCATGTATACATGTGTAAAACTGCAGCTCCGCTAGGTTCTGTGTTACTGTCCCTATGTTCACAATTGTAACTGTCCTGTTTCCATCGATTGTGTGTTTACTGTCATGTATACATGTGTGAGCTGCAGCTCCGCTAGGTTCTGTGTTACTGTCCCTATGTTCACAATTGTAACTGTCCTGTTTCCCTCGATTGTGTGTTTGCTGTCATGTATACATGTGTGAAACTGCAGTTCCGCTAGGTTCTGTGTTACTGTCCCTATGTTCACAATTGTAACTGTCCTGTTTCCCTCGATTGTGTGTTTGCTGTCATGTATACATGTGTGAAACTGCAGCTCCGCTAGGTTCTGTGTTACTGTCCCTATGTTCACAATTGTAACTGTCCTGTTTCCCTCGATTGTGTGTTTGCTGTCATGTATACATGTGTGAAACTGCAGCTCCGCTAGGTTCTGTGTTACTGTCCCTATGTTCACAATTGTAACTGTCCTGTTTCCCTCGATTGTGTGTGTTTGCTGTCATGTATACATGTGTGAAACTGCAGCTCCGCTAGGTTCTGTGTTACTGTCCCTATGTTCACAATTGTAACTGTCCTGTTTCCCTCGATTGTGTGTTTGCTGTCATGTATACATGTGTGAAACTGCAGTTCCGCTAGGTTCTGTGTTACTGTCCTCGTGTACGCACTTCCCATCGTTTGTATTGCACTAATTTTTACTGTCATAGCATACATTTGCCAACAACTACCATGTCTTGTTTCCAGTAACAGTTAGGTAACCTTCTCATGCCATATGATGCTGAACTTATGTTTATATAGACCAGTGGACACCCAGCGGGTGATGTGTTCAACATCATGCCAGCCACCTTTACTTCCCAGGACTTTTACCTGATACTCATTTTGGGCTGGGTTCATCTTGGATTCAAGGTCTTTAAAAAAAGAAATCCAATACAGATTTGGACCTAAGACTGGGTTGGCAGATGATCTTTTAGCTGCCCCACCCCCCACGACTGCCTTTGTCTGGTGTACAGCACTGAATGTCAGGCAGTACCTTTTGGATTGTTTGTTCAATGTGAACATATTAGAATTTATTAGTATAGAAACCAATGAAAATTTTCTGAACATGACCAAGCCATACAAGCGTGTCCTGAGTACTTGGAGACAATGCCTCACTGAGACATTTGTGTCACATTTGTACTAGCCAGCCACCACTCCCTGGCAGTGCCCCAGAAGAAAATGAATGCCACAAAAGTAATCAGGCATATTGTTTCTGTTCTCCCTTGATGTTTCGTAGAGAAATAAGTGCTGCAGTTCCAGCCATTTTTTTCTGTCTATTGCTGTTCTGTCTGATGCCATACAGACAATAGTTATTTAGCAATGTTGTTTTGCCATGATGAAACATCACTGGACTGACATTATTTGCCAGGTTTCATGCATAATGGCCCGCTGAACCACGCCAGCGAGAAGCATGCCAGGCAGACCATCACCTTGCAGGCCAACAGGCGCAAAACAGCAGGCAAGAAACCCTTCTCCACAGCCAAGTGCCAGGTTTTGTAGCTTGGCAAGCCAAATGAATCAGATTTTCTGTGGACTTTTATTTCTGTTGCAAATTCTATGTGTGGTAGAATTAAACATGACCCTCAGAAAAACAAACTTGAACAAGAGAACAGTCATGTCTTCCAGCATTTTGTTCATACCTGACAGTTGTTGCCATTTCCAGAGTGTAGATGATTCTCAGAAAGTGAATATTCCACATTTTATGACATCTTTTTGTCAAACTGAATTTGTTTTGGTATGTTTTCTTTATGCAGCTATCTGCAGTTTATTTCCATATTGATTGGTTTCTTGCCTCTGATTTGTTGTTGATTTACTTGAATGAACATGTCATGTTTGTCATGGGAGCCTGTGTCCCCCAGCCACCATCATCCCTCCCATTCCATCTCTAGTGGCTTGGTGTGGTTAATTTCTGTAATTTCATTTTGGCCAGTTCTTCATCTATTTTTTAGTTGGGTATGCTAATATATTTGTATTTCTACAGTTTAGCATAGTGCTGCTGATCTGAAACAACAAATATGATCTTATTGTTGTAAAATCTTTTTTTTTTTTTGATGGGTTGTGAGTTGATGTACTTGATTACAGTGTACACATATTTTGATAGATATATTGTTACGGGTTGTGAGTTGATGTACACATTGCCTTGTTTTACTTGATTACAATGTACTATTTTGATAGATATATTGTTATGTCTTGTTAGTTGATGTACACATTGCCTTGTTTCACTTGATTACAATGTACACATATTTTGATGATATATTGTTATCAGCTGAGAATAAAAGCCCACTGACATGGGTATTTCATGGTTGATTCACATTCCTGTTACTGAGTGATTGCCCAACAGTGCCTGCTTGCCACCATCCACCACTGACACTCCTGCACTCCTGTTGCTGAGTGATTGCCTAACAGTGCCTGCTTGCCACCATCCACCACTGACACTCCTGCACTCCTGTTGTTGAGTGATTGCCCAACAGTGCCTGCTTGCCACCATCCACCACTGACACTCCTGCACTGTTGTTGTTGAGTGATTGCCCAACAGTGCCTGCTTGCCACCATCCACCACTGACACTCCTGCACTTTTGTTGTTGAGTGATTGCCCAGCAGTGCCTGCTTGCCACCATCCACCACTGACAGTCCTGCACTGTTGTTACTGAGTGATTGCCCAACAGTGCCTGCTTGCCACCATCCACCACTGACACTCCTGCACTGTTGTGTCAGTGAGCCAGCATCTACACTGTCATCGACCTTTGACATGTTCCTCTGTGAAGAGATTTCCTGCAGCTGTATGAGGACCCACACCATTCAGGGGCTTGTTCGTGTGTTCTTGGCAACACTGACATCACACATGTTTTTGGCAACACTGACATCACACATGTTCTTGGCCACACTGACATCACACATGTTCTTGGCAACACTGACATCACACATGTTCTTGGCCACACTGACATCACACATGTTCTTGGCAACACTGACATCACCCATGTTCTTGGCCACACTGACATCACACATGTTCTTGGCAACACTGACATCACACATGTTCTTGGCAACACTGACATCACACATGTTCTTGGCAACACTGACATCACACATGTTCTTGGCAACACTGACATCTCACATGTTCTTGGCAACACTCACATCACACATGTTCTTGGCAACACTGACATCACACATGTTCTTGGGAACATTGACATTATGCATGTTCTTGAGAACACTGACGTCACACATGTTCTTGGGAACATTGACATTGTGCATGTTCTTGGGAACACTGACATGAATGATTTTATGATTTTCAATATTATTTCTGTACACTGCTGTATGATGGAAGCTTGACTTGTGTGTATTGTAGCACATTTATACACATTGACTATGTTTATATAGACAAGAGATCACAAATGGGGTAGATAGTCATCCCTGGAGATACAGACATCACAATTGGGGTAGATAGTCATCCCTGGAGATACAGACATCACAAATGGGGTAGATAGTCATTCCTGGAGATACAGACATCACAAATGGGGTAGATAGTCATCCCTGGAGATACAGACATCACAAATGGGGTAGATAGTCATTCCTGGAGATACAGACATCACAAATGGGGTAGATAGTCATTCCTGGAGATACAGACATCACAAATGGGGTAGATAGTTATCCCTGTAGATACACCAAACCAATCCTGATCTATGGTCAGCCAGATCCCAGCCTGTCTTTTCTGCCAGTTACCTTCAGGGACATCCTCCTAGAGTCACTACCACTCAGTTGTGTTGTTCTGTGTGAACACAGTCACTTTCACTCAGTTGTGTTGTTCTGTGTGAACACAGTCACTTTCACTCAGTTGTGTTGTTCTGTGTGAACACAGTCACTTTCACTCAGTTGTGTTGTTCTGTGTGAACACAGTCACTTTCACTCAGTTGTGTTCTGTGTGAACACAGTCACTTTCACTCAGTTGTGTTGTTCTGTGTGAACACAGTCACTTTCACTCAGTTGTGTTGTTCTGTGTGAACACAGTCACTCAGTTGTGTTGTTCACAGTCACTTTCACTCAGTTGTGTTGTTCTGTGTGAACACAGTCACTATCTCTCAGTTGTGTTGTTCTGTGTGAACACAGTCACTTTCACTCAGTTGTGTTGTTCTGTGTGAACACAGTCACTTTCACTCAGTTGTGTTCTGTGTGAACACAGTCACTTTCACTCAGTTGTGTTGTTCTGTGTGAACACAGTCACTCAGTTGTGTTGTTCTGTGTGAACACAGTCACTCAGTTGTGTTGTTCTGTTACACAACAGTCACTCAGTTGTGTTGTTCTGTGTGAACACAGTCACTCAGTTGTGTTGTTCTGTGTGAACACAGTCACTCAGTTGTGTTGTTCTGTGTGAACACAGTCACTTTCACTCAGTTGTGTTGTTCTGTGTGAACACAGTCACTCAGTTGTGTTGTTCTGTGTGAACACAGTCACTCAGTTGTGTTGTTCTGTGTGAACACAGTCACTCAGTTGTGTTGTTCTGTGTGAACACAGTCACTTTCACTCAGTTGTGTTGTTCTGTGTGAACACAGTCACTTTCACTCAGTTGTGTTGTTGTGTGAACACAGTCATCACTCAGTTGTGTTGTTCTGTGTGAACACAGTCACTTTCACTCAGTGTGTTTGTTCTCTGTGTGAACACAGTCACTATCACTCAGTTGTGTTGTTCTGTGTGAACACAGTCACTTTCACTCAGTTGTGTTGTTCTGTGTGAACACAGTCACTTTCACTCAGTTGTGTTGTTCTGTGTGAACACAGTCACTATCACTCAGTTGTGTTGTTCTGTGTGAACACAGTCACTTTCACTCAGTTGTGTTGTTCTGTGTGAACACAGTCACTTTCACTCAGTTGTTCTGTTGTTCTGTGTGAACACAGTCACTTTCACTCAGTTGTGTTGTTCTGTGTGAACACAGTCACTTTCACTCAGTTGTGTTGTTCTGTGTGAACACAGTCACTTTCACTCAGTTGTGTTGTTCTGTGTGAACACAGTCACTTTCACTCAGTTGTGTTGTTCTGTGTGAACACAGTCACTGTTCACTCAGTTGTGTTGTTCTGTGTGAACACAGTCACTTTCACTCAGTTGTGTTGTTCTGTGTGAACACAGTCACTTTCACTCAGTTGTGTTGTTCTGTGTGAACACAGTCACTTTCACTCAGTTGTGTTGTTCTGTGTGAACACAGTCACTTTCACTCAGTTGTGTTGTTCTGTGTGAACACAGTCACTTTCACTCAGTTGTGTTGTTCTGTGTGAACACAGTCACTCACTTTCACTCAGTTGTGTTGTTCTGTGTGAACACAGTCACTTTCACTCAGTTGTGTTGTTCTGTGTGAACACAGTCACTTTCACTCAGTTGTGTTGTTCTGTGTGAACACAGTCACTTTCACTCAGTTGTGTTGTTCTGTGTGAACACAGTCACTTTCACTCAGTTGTGTTGTTCTGTGTGAACACAGTCACTCAGTTGTGTTGTTCTGTGTGAACACAGTCACTTTCACTCAGTTGTGTTGTTCTGTGTGAACACAGTCACTATCACTCAGTTGTGTTGTTCTGTGTGAACACAGTCACACTCACTTGTGTGTGTTCTGTGTGAACACAGTCACTTTCACTCAGTTTGTGTTTCTTGTTCTGTGTCACTCAGTTGTGTTGTGTTCTGTGTGAACACAGTCACTATCTCTCAGTTGTGTTGTTCTGTGTGAACACAGTCACTTTCACTCAGTTGTGTTGTTCTGTGTGAACACAGTCACTTTCACTCAGTTGTGTTGTTCTGTGTGAACACAGTCACTTTCACTCAGTTGTGTTGTTCTGTGTGAACAGTCAGTTGTGTTGTTCTGTGTGAACACAGTCACTTTCACTCAGTTGTGTTGTTCTGTGTGAACACAGTCACTTTCACTCAGTTGTGTTGTTCTGTGTGAACACAGTCACTTTCACTCAGTTGTTGTTCTGTGTTCTGTGTTGTTCTGTGTGAACACAGTCACTGAACACAGTCACTTTCCACTCAGTTGTGTTGTTCTGTGTGAACACACTCACTCAGTTGTGTTGTTCTGTGTGAACACAGTCACTTTCACTCAGTTGTGTTGTTCTGTGTGAACACAGTCACTACCACTCAGTTGTGTTGTTCTGTGTGAACACAGTCACTTTCACTCAGTTGTGTTGTTCTGTGTGAACACAGTCACTCAGTTGTGTTGTTCTGTGTGAACACAGTCACTATCACTCAGTTGTGTTGTTCTGTGTGAACACAGTCACTCAGTTGTGTTGTTCTGTGTGAACACAGTCACTTTCACTCAGTTGTGTTGTTCTGTGTGAACACAGTCACTATCACTCAGTTGTGTTGTTCTGTGTGAACACAGTCACTTTCACTCAGTTGTGTTGTTCTGTGTGAACACAGTCACTTTCACTCAGTTGTTTTGTTCTGTGTGAACACAGTCACTTTCACTCAGTTGTGTTGTTCTCTGTGAACACAGTCACTTTCACTCAGTTGTGTTGTTCTGTGTGAACACAGTCACTATCACTCAGTTGTGTTGTTCTGTGTGAACACAGTCACTTTCACTCAGTTGTGTTGTTCTGTGTGAACACAGTCACTTTCACTCAGTTGTGTTGTTCTGTGTGAACACAGTCACTTTCACTCAGTTGTGTTGTTCTGTGTGAACACATTCACTACCACTCAGTTGTGTTGTTCTGTGTGAACACAGTCACTTTCACTCAGTTGTGTTGTTCTGTGTGAACACAGTCACTTTCACTCAGTTGTGTTGTTCTGTGTGAACACAGTCACTTTCACTCAGTTGTGTTGTTCTGTGTGAACACAGTCACTATCTCTCAGTTGTGTTGTTCTGTGTGTACACATAGTCACTTTCACTCAGTTGTGTTGTTCTGTGTGAACACAGTCACTTTCACTCAGTTG